GACCGTAGGTCTACGCTAAATGATTGACAGCTTGCTTTCTCTTTGCATCCCCAAGGTTTACAAATGCAGACACGCAGTGTTCACTGGCAACTTAAAAGAAAAGTTCCGTACAGCTCTGGCTTGTTAGGTTGGATTCAAATTTAAACTAAATGACTGTGCATGCACATCTGGATTGTTTTGCTCTTTCTCCTTCATGGCAAATTTCCAGAACAAATATAAAATCTTCAAAAGTAGTACGTTTTATATATGTTAAAAAATAAACTTTTGTAATGTTAATCATTAGACCACACACGAGCCACACAGCGATATAATGTATGCGGAATTTTTAGGCTGCCAACATGCTCCTTAAAATTAAAGCGCTCGCAATGTTTTTGCTGGGGAGAAAAATGGGAACGGTTTCCGAGGATATCCAAGTCATTGCCAATGGCTGTAAGGGTGACACTTGACAGTGTCACAAGTGTGCCAAGAAATGACCCTGCACAGCAGTAGATAACGGCCATGTTTACCTATCCTGCAGGCATCGTTACTAATGTCACAGTGTGGTCAAAACGTGATAATAAATGTATAAAAAATAACTAACGGTGCGTTTTCGCACAGCAACAACCATGTCAGGAATAAGGAATGTTCTACTGGGATATAAATAAGTATGCTGCCATCTTGTTAATGATTACTTCGCTCGACTGGCTATCCCGGTGGTCGCCGGTTCGACTTGAGCTCCCGACGCAGCATCTGAAACGTCGGTGAGCGTTTCTTAAATCTCCCGGTCGCGTGTGGTGATGTAAAGCGCGGGTACTTTGACCTCTTCTGAGATGTCTGGCCAGGGTGTAAGAGTAGGCCAAATACCCTCGACGAAGGGGGCCTCAATAAAGCTCCCTCAAGTGGAGGCCCTTCCGCCAGCAAACGGCGCGGGCGGGCAATTGCAGGGGCTGCGCCCTTACCTTGTGCACGACAATCCTCTTTTGCGTCCCGCTGTTCGTAACGTCCCCTTCCACTTACCGCACGTCTAACACCTCGTTGTTTCTCGGATGCGTCCCGCTGCCTCGCCTGCCACTTCCTTACTATCAGTGACCATCCATCAATCACCCCTTGCGGCGACGATCACTTTGCTCGCCAGTTGCAGACCGTTGCCTTCGAACTGTGCCGTGCGTACGCCCCTCTCATCCACGTGCTCCTCTTGCTGTGCCTCAGTTGCGCCTATGGCACTTTTCAAGTGTTTATTGTTGCTGCTGTCCATTTTCGTGTTAATGACTCTGCGTCCGAACCGTATGTCACAGCAGGTAGTGTATGCGCCGATTAATAAAACATTCATATAGCGTCATTCATGCCAACAGCATCCCACAACGCTGCACATTAATTATATATGAGGACCAGATCCCATATACGCGGCTGGCTACACACAGCGCGAAAGAAGCCCAACACACATTCGTACCGAGCAAATAGTATACACATACCGTACTAGGCTCTGCTGTGTATACTCCGTTAAACACGGGAGCGCATTGTAGTGCAATTGACACAAAGTCGCGTGAACACCGCAATGCAACAGCTCACAATTGGAGGCCTGTGGACCTCTGCGGGACCGCAGCGATTATCAGGGGGGCTATGAGAGGTGACGGGAATTCGTAAGATTAAGCCCCAGGAAGGGTGCCGCCAGGGAATAATGAGTTGGTATGAGGGGGTCTCTGAAGGTAAACGTACGATGCCAAGTTGCTCTATAGTCAGACGTATTATAGTATACCCACGTCGGTGACTCTGTACGCGAAACCGTGACTGTTCACTTCGGTGGGTCTTGGTAATTAAATTGTGTGGCGCCGTAGATGTTCAGTTACAACATGGGCCTCAAGACTGATTATTTGCAAACAAAAGCGGTAATGTAAAGCGACGATGTTTAACGCCGCGGCAAAGCTGTATCCTGGAACAAAACTCCCATTCGTTGCGTGTGAGCTCATATTCTACTCAGTGAAGCAAAAAAAAAATCACACTAAATGTGTCTCAAATATTACAAAACGTCAGCACATAGCTAATATGATGGACCGGGCCGTGGATTGTGACAATCTCGTCGTCAATATTTTAAAGCGTGAAGTCTTGAAAACCCACTGTAAAATTGGTGTAACGTTTGGGCCTGGTCAAAGTTTCAGCCCTGCCATTGCTTGCCAACGCCTCTGCTAGCGGAAGGGCATCCACTAGAGGGGGCTTTAGATAACCTCTATGGGGCTGGGGGGGGGCGGGGTTTGGCCTGCTCTTCCATACTGGCCAGATATCTTGGAAGATGTGGGAGTAACCCACACTTTACACCGCCACATGTGATTAACTATGGGGGGGGGGGGGGGGGGGTGTATCCATTTGTATAATTTACTGTTATACGGTTTTATGAGCAGTATCTGAACACTGGCAAAAAAAATTCATTGCACAAGCACAGTAGGAATTTATCAAAATATCAATCACTTGCTGTGCTTGTGGAAGAGTTGAAAGACTTACACATGTTAAACCCCCATTGGCAAGGGACAGAAATATGCAGAGTACGGATGTCACATCAAGGTATGGCTCAGGAAAATCCGACGCCAATTTGCAAGACATACTAAGAGCATGACACTCCCAGTAAACACAATAGACGAAATGACTTGTGTGCTCTTTTAAAACTGCAAGTGTTTTTTGTTTGCAAATATTGCATTTCCCCTTTGTTTTTCGAAGCCAAGGTTTTAATTTAATCCGTAATAAAATGCTTTTCAGCATCTGTTTATTTTGCGAGTTTGTTTATGCGCGCGGTATCTTAAGAACTTGTTGTCTGATTTGCCCCAACACGCAGTACGCATGCGTCACTTATTCAGGCCATGAAAACCAGGTGCCCAAGGTAATTTTAAGAAAAATAAGAATACTCAGGTACCTGAGACTCTCATAAAATGATACGCGAGGCAATAAACTCCCTTTCTCTCGTGTCAGAGACCCCTCTCAGCTGCTAATTTTGCCAATTATCCCCCGTGAAAGAAACTTGACTCTAAAGTTTGTGTTTTACTTACTCTTGAGGGCAACAACTGCCTCTTCCTCTGCGTGTTTATTTTCACTGACACTCAATACAAGGGAGGTTGCCACACGTCCTGGTTTTGTCAGGATCACCCTCATGTTGTGGTAGCCGTGCTGGAAAATCTGTAAGTCTTTCCGGAACATTAAACATTAAATGTTCCGGCATTTGTGTCAGTCACACGTAGCTCTCTGCTCTTCGGGAAACTCTGAGATACTCTTATTCCCGTGATGTGTCCCCGTTTTACTCTGACGCAGAGATAGCAACCGTAACCACGCGCCATTTGATCATCTTCCAAAATAATTGCTGGCAAGCCAGTATATTTGGAGGGTCGTCATTTTGTTATGGTGAATTCGACCGTGTAAATAAATGTGCACACGCAACACGGACACACGGTATCGACAACATGCAGGATTACAGCGACCCACTGGCACTCAAACACACGTGTACTGATCACGCTCATGTGCAGCATTAGGCATTTTAACTTGAATTTAAAAAAAAAACAATCTTTTATGAGGGATTCATTTGTCAGTTATAGAGTCCTAGGCATTGGTAGTGGCAAGCTGTGAAGTGCTTTTTGTAGAGATTTGGTTTTATAGGTTTTGTAATAGAACTACGAAAAATAAATTCGCAGTTATGCTAGAAGCTTCTTCAGCACGCAAGTGGAGTGAAACGTCTGACATTAGACCGAACTGACATCACACAAACCGTTAAACACATCGTCGTACATGAAAATTCTATTGGAAATACCTCCCGTTAAAATTAGTGACACTTAGGCGAGAAACTGCACGGATTGAGATGTTAGAGCAGCAACAAAAAAAAAAACGCCACTAAAATATTCACGCGCTGTAAAGTGTTGCGCAATGCAACACGATCACTGGATAATTATAATGCACAACCCCTGGTGTTATATTCCGGTAATATATCGTATTAGCAAGCAATAGAGAAGTAAAGCAAAATGACTAACTTTTAAAATTATAGTTCAGTACAAAATAGGCACGCTCTGATATTGATACATGACAAAAAAAATGGTCTAATACTGTTTGAGACTAGGCCCTAAAGAAAGCTGTCTCTGGCGTGGACTAATCAGTTTTAAAGACGATGCGTATACTCCTTCTTTGGTTCTTTCGGTGAAGTCACGTTGAATGAGAATAAAATAATAAATTGATAAAATAAAATAACACAATAATATTCTCACGACGTTTCGGCCACAACACAAGCGGCCTTCATCAGGCGAAGGGACGAGACTGTCTGGTAGGACAGCGCTGGAGTGAAATGCGTATACTATCAGAGCATGTTTTTTTTGCATGTTCGCCACTAGTATATGTGGTTAATGCAGGCACAATTCCTTGCAAACGTTTTCTGTTTGGTGTTTTAACATTTGAACACCTGTTTTATTGCCAGAAAGGGTGAAACCTAATCTTATATTTTGATATTGGCAAGGTAGGTCCCACAATCGAAAGGTTGCCGATTCGATCTCTCGGCGTGGCAGTGAAAACAATGGTGTCAGTTTCCTTGGGCCCTCTGTCCACGCAGCAGTAGAGATGGTTACACCGCCGTCAATCAGCAGGTCGTGAGTAGTGGGGTAAAGTGCGGATAGTTCTATTGCTTCCAAGACGTCTAGCCAGCGTGGAAGAGTAGGCCAAGTATCCTCGAGAGAGGGTCTGTGGAGCTACCTCTCGAGTGGGGGCCCTTCTGGCAGCAGAGGCGTGAGCAAACACTTTCAGGGCTGTACCTTAATCATTTTAGCAAAGAGAACAAGCTTTTTAAAATATATATGAATCATTTTGGCGGGACCCCGGGGTCCCGCAACAATCAGCTCAATAATAATTATTATTTTTCAGTCCGCCCCACTCGTGATCCCGACAGCAACGCGCCGCCCGCCCAGACTCGCACCAACAAGCGCCAGCAGCAGCAGGCGGTGATCACCACGATGGGCGCCACCCCACCGGCCAAACACGAGCCCCGGGGGGCGTCCGCCGCAGCTGCCCTCCGGTCAGCCGTCGATCCTCGGCTTCTTTGCCAAGGTGAGCCCCACCGCCCCCCCCAGGCAGTGAATTTAACGTGTTTGTGTAATTTTTCAACTTTTTACGAAACTTAGTGTCCCCGAGTAGCTGACGACGAGGCCAATCGATTGACCACTAGTTTTGTTGTCGGTAAGGCCTTAACAAGGCTCGTGTCGCTACACGGTTTTTCCCACCCCCGGGGCAGTGATGGTAACCCCGGGGTCCCGCCAATTGCTTCATATGTCCCCGGATGAGTATCATTTCAAGGATAGCCTCTCATATTCTTGGTTCTTTCGGTAAAGTCAGGTAGATAGAGAAAAAAATCTAAATTTTAATTTAAAGCTGTCCTGACTGCAGTAATTCATATTCTTAGCTCTTTCGGTAAAGTCACGTTGAAGGGAAACAATATATAATATATTTTATTGTTTCCCTTCAACGTGACTTTACCGAAAGAGCTAAGAATAAAAATCTAAATGTAAAGCAAAAAAACCCAGGACGTTTCGATCGCAACACGTGCGGTCTCCTTCAGGTGTAGAGAGAAGAGGGGGGCAAGCTCTCTCCACCTGAAGAACACAGAGAGAACCAAGAATATCGATTCCTGCTGTCACGAAAGTTTCACGTCTAAAGATAGCCTCTCAGTCAACATACTTATCACTGAGCCAGTTGTCATTGTCTGATTTCTCCATTTCCACAGTCATATCTGCAGCAGTGCTACATCGTGCTGTCTGCTGTGGAAGAAGTTGAACATACATACTGTACATACGTGACGGACATCACCTACAAGTTCAGCTCATGGCGGATTTAGACAACATGTAAAATGAGATCATTGGCTACAACAAAGTTAAGTAAAAAAAAAATAATGGACAATTGTTTTTACATTTATCCTGCAGCAGCCATGATCATTCTACTGCTGGATGAAAACCTCCTCGACTCGTTACAATGTTTCGGAATTTCCTTCCTTTCTATAGGAAAGACAATTTATCACAGAGGTATCGTGTCACGCCAAAGTACCGATATTATCGAATCATAACCTTAACCACCCTTGCAAAATGTTAATTATGAATGTATTAAAAGTTAAGACTGAGGAATGCAGATAAATTACAACTTCAAACGGTGCGGTGACACAACGTTCCCTGTGGAAATTTAAACCTTAAACACGTGCATGGAAACATGAAAATACTCCTTTGATTGACCAATATCCATTTACACGACTCAATGCCCGGCATACAGACTTCATCCCTGCAGCGAGAGACAGCTCACGGGAAGGACTCTATTGACACCGTCATTTGCATTTCTTGTTGATGAAAATTGTTTTGTTTTCCCATCGGTCAGATGCACACACAATTTGGACCATTGTTCGTATTCGAGCTTCTCATTCCATTGGAATGACATGCAGATAGATAGATAAGTGGGTAATTTATTTATTTTTCACCACTTAACAAGAGCTTAAATTGTCTTCGTATATATATTTTTTACAGACAGTCTTAATTTGCGCGCGTTTTGGCTTGGTTCATACTTACGTGTTGCTCAAAAGCTGACACGCACAAACATTACGGCGTTGCATCCTTTCGTTTGAGCAGAGCCGACGTTAGGGGATGGCATGAATCATATAAAAAAGGGCTTTGCTCTCAATGTCCCTTGCATGACTGAGCCTTTAGTTAACTCTGAGCTGGGAGAATTTCTTACCAAATCCTAAGACTCTGCCCCGGTGTCAAGTAAGGTCTCCTGCATTGCACAATTCAAAAGGTTCTGTGAGGTGGCAGCGTTTTGCTCGCTTGCCCCATTATGCACGGGAGGATGTGAGATACACAAAGCCGCTCCTTTTTTTTCTTCTTCTTCTTCTTCTCTCGAGAAACGTAACAGACGACTCTCGTCTGTTACGTTTCTCGTCTGTTATACACATGAAATGCGGGTTGCGTCGTGCACCAAAATCAAATCACCGCAGCCACAATTTTCCTTGTGCGCATTACTTTTGACATGGAATTTCTCGGCGCTTAAACGACTCCGTGGTTCATCTGTAATAATATATACTGCGAGGTAGAAAGTGTGAATTCCATCAATTTGGAAAATAAGGACGGCACAATGAATGTGATGCTGTGACTGTGATTCTGGAGGTGTTAGCTACGGGAGAGAAAGAATGTACGGTTTGCTGCGAGTCGAGTTTTTTTTTCCTCATGGCCTTGTAATTTTTCAAGCAAATTGGTCCGATTGATGTCATAAGCCTCATTATATTTCTGTGTTTAAATTGCAATTATAATTCCCGCGTTACATGTGTTTCGTGGCATGTATACAGTTACTTATTTCAATGTTCAGCGCTCTAAGAAATTGTTGAATCTTGTTGATGTTATAACAGTATTAAAATTAGAAAAATGTACCACATTCAAATTATTGTCATTCACAAAACTATTGTCATCCTACATGAAGATTCCATGGAAAATGTTGGCAGGTAGAAACCAATGTGGATATCAGCAAATGCAAATCGTTCAATTAAAACAAAAATTCAACTGTTTGGAAATTAAGTGGTGCAACTATACAAATGATCGCTCAAGCCACTACTGGTGGAAGGGCCTCCAAGTTGACGAAGCTCTCGAGAGCCACCTCGAGATGAGATTTGGTCTCCTCTTCAAATGCTGGCCAGACACCTTGAAAGAGCTGGAAGTACCCACACTTTACCCCACCGCACTCGACCTAACAATCGACTGAGTTGTACCCGTTTATACTGCTGGGTGGACAGAGGAGGCATTGGGGAGTCATTAAATGTGCCCGTTGTTTCAACTGCCATGCCGGGTAATCGAACCGGTGACCTACGGATTGTTCTGTGGGCTCACCGTCACACCACGACAGCATACCGTCTGTTGATTATATTGCGCTAATCTAGTCTAACAAACAGCTGCCTTCATGAGATAATGTAGTTTGTTGATAAAGTCCTTGTGCCATACGTGAAGCCCACCTCCTCGCTGATACATTTTGAGGTGGACTCATTATTCGTACTGTTAGACTGCACGCGTTGTGTTTAAAGGGTGTGTTTAAAACGTATCTCTGTAATGCCAATTGCCAAATCCCCTGTTCTATTGCTCATTTTGACTTCAGCTCATTTCAAATTGTGAACTCTCTCCGCAAGTCGACAGCTCAAAGCACATCAGTTCCGTTTGGGGATGGTGGGTCTAGAAGGAAGCTTTCTGTTGTTCTAAAGTCGCAAAAATGGCAAAAACATGCAGATCTAATCGCCACTACAGATTGATGTGACATTTGCATTTACGTGTACATAATTGCACGCTCAACAAGAGATGCAAGTTTATCAATGTTAACAATTCTGCCACGTGCGCCCAAAGTCATCGCATACCAATGCTTAGCACTGCGGTGTCAGCAAAGAAGTACACAAAATATTTTCTCCTCCCTCTAATAACCTGGTTCGAGCTGCCCGAATTGAGCTGTCAAAAAGGCTGGCTCTCTCTCTCTCTCTGCAAAGGACGTCCTGGGACACGGTCCCCCCCCCCGCATGAAATGTTAACGAATGAAATAGCGCCGTGATTAACCGTTAGTCGGGGCAGCAGAGTTCAGTTGCGGTGCTGTCTGAGGTGCAGCAGCAACAGCAGCAGCACTGACAACTACAAACGCGGGCAGCAGCAGCAGCAGCTCCTTCTCGCGCGCCATTTTTAAGATCTTGTCCGCGTGAACTTTGTCTCGTGCACGCATTTGCCTAGCGATATGTTGGATGAACGTGTAATAAAAAAACATATTTTTGTTTTACTTTATTAAAAAAAATAGAAATTTAAATAGGCTGAGGCTGCTAATATCTGTAATACATGTCTGGTAGTATTGTAAATATGTTACCGTAACCAGTGGAATATGTAGACGGAATAATGAAGATCAATTAGCATGCTCCCTCTCTCTCTAACCCCAACCACTTTCTTTATTTTTAACGGGAGAATTGTGTTTCATTGACGCGATTTGGAATTCCGCGTCGTTTTTTTCACGAGCACAACCCCCTTGTAAAACGAGAACTAGCGGTACCTGTAATGCCACCTTTAGTCAAAGGTAATTAGATTTCTGGGTGCAAGTGCAAAACAAATATATATAATCGAATATTGACGTTACAGTCTGTAAAGTTACTTTACATCCAAAGCTATCATGTTCATATACATCATAGGTGTTAAAGCTTAATAAAAATGCAGTTTGATAGAGTGGCCCAAAAATCACGGAGATGGCTGGGTCTACATAGGAATAAATTTTCTCCACAAAAATGCATTCTAGTCTTCATGCATATTCAGTAATTTTCTATGAAAGCTTATTGTTTTGTTGGTGACAACACGAAACACTTGTCAAAATGTATGCGTGAATTTCTGAAATGTATGGAACACTTAGCACTTCACAAACAGAATACAAAATTACGTAAACAAGTTACATTACAGGCCAATGACCGGTGAGTCAATTCTCTATTTAGCCTCACGCATGTATGTGTATACGTACGTATCGAGGATAATAATTCTGTTATAATAATGTTTCTTAAAATACCCAGGAAAGCCTCACCGAGTCTCATGAGTCTATTTTAAGAAGGGTCCTGCATTGGAATGTTGGGCCTATTTCATTAATGGAGTGTTTGACATAAGGAAGGAAGCCAGAAATCCCAGAGAATTGCCCATGCATACCAGGAGGTAACACTTGAAGCTCCGCATGTATGTGTAGTGACTAACTCGGAGACACTAAGAGTTGGAGGCACTTCTTTTATTATACTCACAATCTCCCTTCACACACCCTACAGTCGCCTAGGCTACACACACCCTAGTCTAAACACAACACTAGCCGTCTAACACCGATGGCGCCCACCGATACAGCCAACGACTGTAAGACAGCGCAAGATCAAGCGACGACGACTGCGGCGACTAAGAGAAGAATGGTGACGAAGACGACGATGGACTTGAGCAGCACGATGGGTTATCCCGCTTACAATCAACAGCCCCGAGGTCCCCTACAGGGGCCCCCTCTTATACTGTCAGCGTGGCCTGGCTACGCCCCCGGCCACGCCCCCTTTCTAGAACCTACCAGCGGGTTCTTGGTGTGCCCCCTCTGTGACCTTTCCCCTAGATACCTCTCTGGTGTATCACGTGGCCTGCCAGACTTCAGGGCTGCCAAAGGCCGCAGATCGCCTTCCCTACCAGCCGCCAGCACCATGCTGCTAGATTACTGTTCTATGCCACTACACATGTATGTAGAACTTCTTTCACACCGTACATAACCAACCATGCTAATCGGAGGTACGAGGCTTGGACAAAAAACTAAACACAAAAAAACTGTTTCAAAGAAATGAGTTTTCAATCTAGATTTAAAAAAAAAATAGATTAAATAATCAATTGCTGTGCTGCCACCCCATGACCACCTCGGTTATCATTTCCCACGTGATAAATTACTCTCAAGAAGTAATCACAAACTGGAAATACTTTACCACAATTGTTGTGAACAGTGCATTATTGAAGAGTACAGGTATACGGTCCGTACTGTATGTGCGATGCAAACATTTCACGAAATGGTGCTATGTTAGAAGAGAGATGAAGAGCTGAAATAATAATGTGACATGGGGCCAACATTTCCAATAAAAAAGTGGTCTAATCCATTTTATGATGACAAAAAGAAAACATATTTCTGAAGGAAAAATTGCAAAACAGGATAGCTAATTTGCTGGGAGAAAAAAAGCTTACATTTTTGAAAATAAAACTGAATGATTGCTTAATTAGCAAACATATAGAGCACTTTAAAATCAACTTATACACACACACACAACTCAAAGATTTTCAATTAAAAACCCCAGAAATTTAAATCTGCACTATGCTGGTGCCGTGTCATAATATGTTAGCTGCAGGAGCTTACTTCTGATGGGAATGTACTGTGGTGTGGTTATTAAGCAGCTGTGAATGTCTTTAATTAGAGAAACGAGATACACCACATGAGATGGATGCACAATTCACGCATTTGCATCCGTCAGATGAAAGCACTCACGGCTATCTGGAATTCAGTGAACACATTAAACAAATAATCTCTTGTTGATGAAATGAAGCCAATAATTTTTTATGCAGATGTCCCAAAAAGTATTACCATGAAGGTCAACATTTCTTATTTCAATGGTATTTTAGCTCACTGTTGACCTTACAATTCCACCCCATGTGAACCTGAGCTTCTGCGAGCATTAATTCGGTTCCCCGAAGAAGCTCCCAGCGCGTGAATCAAAACGACCGGACATCGTGCCGTGATCAACGCGTGGTTTGACCCTACAACACACCAGACAGCCAGGCAGCAGAACCACGACAAACCCACGCGGCCATTATTGATTTAATAACCTCGCAACAGTTTTATCATTGAATGTTATTTCCCTGCGCATCTGTATTCCGTATTTTTCCCCGCACACATCGTTATGGCTCACAGGTCTCCACGTCTGCCCGTCTCGTTCATGCCTATCTCAGTTGACCCTCTGAACGGATTGTCTGTTTTGGACCCTTTTAGGTTTGATGTGATAATTGTTGTAGGATCTAACTGATGTTTGTTGTTTTATGAATTGTTGGGTTTTTTTTAACCGTCGATGCAATTTCACAATATTTATGCTTTAACTTTGAACGTGTCTGTAGATAGTCTGAAAACGTGAGCGCATTGTTTTTGCAACAACACAACTGAACTAGGTCTTGGACGAACGCCCACAGCGAGGAAGTTTGAGATCACGGAAGAGGCTCTCCTGCTTTCAAACTTGCAGTATTTACCAAAAGAACCTGATTTTTTTTTATCAAAATCAAAACAAACTCAAAGTTGTTTGCCTGTTTAAGTGGTGTGGTATTCAACATCATGTTTTTAGAAGTGGAAGTTCCATATTTTTATGGTGAGAGTCAATATTTTCCCAACGCAACTAATGTTGCATTAGTTGGGACGTTGCCGTTGGGATGTTAACTCCCTCGCCCGGTATGCAGGAGGACATGGGTTCGATTCCGAAGCTGACACCTGTATATTTGGAATTTACGTGTTCTCCCTGTGGTCGCATGGATTTTTCTCCGGGTTTTCCAGTTTTTCCCTCCACATTTAGAATGAATATGCGTTGTGAGTGTTTGGCTGCTATGAATGTCCACGTGATAAGCCACTTCCTTGAGCTATCATTTGAGGCCAGGTCGCTTCTGAAGAAGAGCTATATAGCTCAGTGGACCTTACCTGGTTAAAAAATATTATTGATGTGGACAAGCCCACAATATGGTACTCATTGTGTATCGACCCCAAAGGGATGCAAGTCCGAGTTCGTAACCCAAACCAGGACTAAAATTCACAATCCTCCATACCAATGCACTCTACCATTGGGCCACCTGATCATATTCTCTTTAAAAAAAAAAACTGCTAGCCATA